CTCTCTGCCCCGCTGACCTTTCTCCATCACTGTCTCCATCTCTATCAATATCTGTCCGCCCCGCTGACCCTTCTCCATCACTCTGTCTCCATTTCTGCCATTCTCCCAAAATGTACCTAATTTGTATTTATTACCTGTCCATGAAATGTAATTGATTACTTGTTCCAAGTGTCTGATTCTTTCAGGAGATATTTAGCTGCTCAAAACCCTTCCTGAAGGGCTGGAGAGATGCCTCAGCAGTTAAGAGCACTTGCTGCTCTCCAAGAGGACCCAGGTTCAGTAACCAACATCAACATGGCAGCTCACAGCCATTTGCAACTCTAGCACCAGGAAATTCAGTTCCCTCTCCTGCATCAGGTACACATGTATAGACACAGTCAAACAAGCATACACATAAAATAAAAATAAACATCTTTAAAAAAACTTAGTGGACAGCAAAGTCAGATACTTGAAGATGAACTTATTTTTAAAAAGGTTTAAATTTAAAGCAGATTTTTGAGGACTAGCTTTCATGGTACTATACAAGCTTCCGGGGAGGGAAGCAACCAACAGCCTCACACAGCTGCGACACCTATGACCCACGTCGAGACCAGCATGGCACAATATCACTAAGACTGCAGTAGAGGTACACACACCTTAGGGATAACCAATAGCTCTTTAATCAGACTTAAGACCTGATCAGCAAGAAAGAGACCATGGAAATCTAGAACTACTCAGGGATAGTGAAGCCATGATTGGAGGAGGATCTGTAAGCACTAATTTACTAAACCAGCACAATTCCTAGTAACAGTCTACAAACACTCGTTCTTATGCCCACAGATAAGTGTGGTCTTCATCTCTCATCAGGGAAACAGATGGAGACTGTCGCACCTGTTGTGCAGCCTGCATCTGAGAATGTAGCGAGGTGGTCGGGATAGATGACACAGAGACAGGTCGGTTGCTTTAAGAAAACTTTATGCTCCCCAAGTAGGCTTAGGAGAACTCCCCAAGAAAAAAACGCTTCCCTTTTATAAGGACTTCTGCCATCCATCTACATACAATTCTCCAACCGAGCTCTCACAGCTCTCCCAGACTTCTCACCCTCCTGGCTGGTGGTTTAATCTCTGGCCCCAGAATTGGGGAGACACCGCAGGGAGCAGGAAGGAGCATCTAGCCGTAGGGGGTGTCAAAGTCATGGTGTTTCAGTGAGCAAGCCCTTATCTGAGCCCTATCAAGAGCTTTATAGCACTGAATTGTTTTCAGTAAACATTATCTCACAGGTGCCTGCTCCCAGGCCGAAGGGGAAGTGGGTTTCTGCTCAAGGTCTGGTGTCCCCACAGAGACCACTACAGAAAATCACAGCCAATCAAAATGCAGAGTTATGGAGCTTGGTCCCAGTGGATACAAGTACAAAAACTTCCCACAACCATGGTCCTGGGAACATTGTGAGAGAGTGGACAGAAAGATACCCAGGAGCTTAGTGTGGTTTGTGTCTCCTATGACTGTCAGAAGCTCCACTCATAAACCCTCACCAACATGATTGCTCAGCTTGAGCCGAACAAGGATGACACCAATGGACGTGACAGCGTGGGTGTGGAAAGGCTCACACGGCCTCAACCCTACACGCAGAACTATGGTTGACTGAGGAATGCTGAGAGTGGACAGTCTGTCTTTTCCAGGGAAGATCGAGGAATGCTAAGAGCGTTCCCACTGGTTGTCCAGAGCCAAATGGTCAGTCCTGAAAATGTACACACCACACACGTTACACAGACCGAGCAAGTTGTTATTTGGGAATATATTAGCACATATACGTGTGTGTGTGTGTGTGTGCATATACATACGCATGCAATAACAATTAGTGAAAAAGAGGTCATAAATTTGAAGGAGAGTGAGGCAGGGTATGTGGGATGGTTAGGAGGGAGGAAGGGGAAGAAGAAATGGTTAGCATTAAATTGTTGAAAAATTGATATCAATGGGAGCAATTTGAAAAATTTAGGTGTGGGATGTTTTGGTTGCATGTATTTAAATGTGTCCTGTGTCGTGTTGCCCTTGGAGTCCAGAAGAAGGTTTTAGATCTCCTGGAATTGGAATTCTGAATCACTCTGAGTCATCACATGAGTGTTAGGATTCAAACTCATTCCCCTTGGAAAGCAGCTAGTGCTCTTAACTGCTAAGCTCTCATTACTGCCCATGACTCTTGTTTTAAATCAGAGAAACGTTTTATATCACATGTAGTTGATATCACCTTTCCAGCTCCTGGGAAGTAAAAAATGAAGCATTCATCTCAAAAATATGAGCCAGCCATTTTAATGAAAGGAATCATTTTTCTAGGTTCTTAGGAAACAGAAATGCCTTGTTTCTATTTCTAACTGAATGTGAGTTCCCTTGGTACAAGGATTTCTCTCAACTCCTCTACCCCAGTTCTGAGAACAGTGACGTTAGATGACAGATGTTCAGTATAAGCCACACGATTTGAGCGAAATCCTTCTGGTATTTGCACTGATACTCGCTGAAGCGCAGGAAGGCAGGGTTAGTCAGGGCCCTAGTGACAGCATGGGTCAGATGTTGACAAGGAAGCTGGTGGTCACCCTGCATGTTTTCATCTGCTTCAATGACACTGCTTTCTTTGTCTCCACTGTGAGTACAAGAGAACCTCTAAGCTTCACGCCTTTGTTAACTTAAAATCAGAAAAAAATCAAGGGGAATGTTAAGGAAAGGTATAAAAATAAAAGTTGTAGATTTTCTTAACAATTTTATTTAGTGATAATAAATCTAGTGGACAAAAATCAGTGGACTATAATAATTAAGTAATCAATCAGTTTGTTATTATTCATTTTGTTTTTGATTTGAAAGTATACATCCCTTTGTATAACTCAGATATTCACGAAAAAATGGTCATGTAATTTTTCAGAAAGAAACTTTAAAGTCTGGGAAGTAGAGATTTTATAGGCCATATTGTCTGATCTAAATTCCAATCAAAAACAAGATCTCAAATGTAATTACTTGGAAATCATGAAACAGTTACGATAACCCTTGGGGGAAAACACAATCAGAGGAATCTGTGAAAAGAACTCTTCGTTCCAAAATCCATAGGGCTCTCCTTGTTGAAGAAGAAAACTAAGAGTAAGGTGACTTTATTTAAGAAAAAATAGAAAGATAAATATTCAAGATAAAAATAAGAGAAAAGCCTGCTACATTTCCATGGAGCCCCATGGCAACATACTTAAAACCCAGTAGAGGAGTTCCTAGAGAAATAAAAGTTAGCAAAACTATTCAAGAAAATATAAACACATATTGCCATGTATGAATGCAAAAGCTGGAAACTGAATTTTAATGGAAATATAAAGAAAACAAAGGAGAAGTTAAAGCAATTCTAAATAGTTCAGTGTTATTGTTCCAGCCACTACTGCAAAATACGATTCATTAAATTTGTATTTACAAAAATGTGGCACTGTTCTGTTAAATAATGAAACAGCCATGGACCAACATAGGTGTATGGACACATTTGTGAAATGTTTAAGTCAGACCTTACCCAATAAAGTGGAGCAAAGGACCATGAAAGACAAGTGTCAGCATTAGGTAGGCTGGGACATTTTCTCTTTTAAGGCTAGCAAGTTGAGGGAGAAAGTGTTCACATCCATTGATGATGAACAAAAGCAGAGAAAGCTGAACAAAGCTCAACCCTGATTTCCAGGAAAAACAAAACAACAAAAACAACAACAAAGCCCTGGAGGGTCATAGAAGGAAACTAAATGTGGTGGAGATCATTTAGGTTACCATTTGTCCTTGACTTAAGTGTGATAAATGCATGAGGAATGTTTTTGGGTTTGGTGGGTTAAATTCTCTAGGGTGTTCTGATGAGAAGAAACTTCCATAAAACCAACTGTGACCTTAGGAAATACAAGGGAAGGCAGCGGCTGGGGGCAGAGCGCCAGGGATATCGGGGACAACATGGGCTGCTGGGTGCTCCTCTGAGGTCCAGATAGATAGGGCACAGAGAGCATCTCACTCTGAGGTAAAGATAGGGCAAAGAAAGCATCTCTCTCTGACTCCATGATGGCACCATTGTCAGTGAGGAAGGTTTTCTTTCTGGTAATGCGTTGCACTTTTCAAATGTTAACACATACTTAAGAATTAAGGCCACGAGGGAGAGAAGAGGGTGCTGTTTGGCTACACGTGGGCATGTGTAGTGGGTTAAGGGCTGAGAAGAGCGTGATAGCAGGGGTCTGCCAATGATCTCTCTCCCACAGTTTCTATGAGCAAGCTTCCATTGGCCGCAGCCTCAAGCTCTTCCAGGACAACCACCAAGCTACTATTAAGTGTAAAACAAGACTTTGATCCACCAATTTTTAACTCATCCCCACTAACAATCAAATTGACCTGTTATTTAGTTCTTCCCTTGTGTGGTGAGTGAGGGGCGATGATTTTCTAGGTGTGCAAAAACTAAAGAAATGAAGACAAACCAAACACTTTACCGTTTTGCCTGATGTGATCTATTAATCTCAATCTATTCAGAAGTCTTTCCAAATTAATGGCTGTGTGTGCATGTTTGCACATGAGTGTGTGAATGTAGGCATATGAGTTTGTGCATGCGTGAATGTATGTGTGTGCATGTGTGTGCTCTAGTGTGTGCATGTCTCTGTGTGCATGTGTGTGCGTTTATGCATGTGTGGGTATGTGTTCATGTATGCACGCGTACGTGTGCATATGTGTGTGTGTGCACGCACATGTATTTGACACTATCTGAAGTATTTCTTCCCAACTGCCTTCAAAGAGAACTTTGTTCTGACTCTCGGGTGATCTGTTAATTCAAGTCTCACTATAGAATTTAGGACAGACTCATTTTGTATGTGAAAATTCCTGGTGTGATTCAATTTTCAAGCTCCTCCCTCCTCCCTTCTTGCCTCCAAACATAGTCTTGTTCCTCCCATCTCCACAGTTATTTCGGAAGGTTCTGTAACAAGTTCTCAAAGGCCCCATTGTGCAGTAACAAAGAACTCTAACGGTGAGGGTCAGGTTCTGTCCTTGCCTGCAGTCCTGAGTGGAAGAGTCCTCATCCAGGCCTGCTAGACATTTGGGAGCCATGGCCGCCAGGCCTATCGGCTGGATATGTGGACAGGCGCTAAAGACCTTCTCTGGAAGACGTATGACAATCTTACTGTGACTTGGGATATGGGCGTGGGAACCGCGGGGACAAATGTCGCCAGTTTCTCTATCCCCAATTACCCAGGAGGTGGACAGGGTCCCACACCTCTGTGAATGTCACGGGCTACTCGTCCTAACATCTCCTTTTCTCAGTTGAGGGGCTCCAGAAGGCAGTGATGGACCTTATAGATGAGTTTAAAGATGAAGTCCCTGGCATCCTAAGATTGTCACAGTCTAAACAGGTAATGAGACTCACAAGCTTCAATAGGAAGAGAAAATATGTGATTTTTGTGTCATACAAATCATTAATGCTGAGGTCAGTAAGTGACGCTTAAGAAAATATGATTTTTTCCTCAGAAAAACCAATTTCCAATTTTATTTACTGGGAGGAGCCCTTGGGTAGCAGAGAGATAGACGAAGAAGTGACTGAGATAAATTAAGATTAGATCAAAAATCTGAAAATCTTTCATAGCAGAAACTGACAATGCAGTTTGTTTTATTTTTTTTTTTTTGAGACAGGGTTTCTCTGTATTGTTTTGGAGGCTGTCCTGGAACTCGCTCTGTAGAGTTCCAGATCCACCTGCCTCTGTCTCCAGAGTACTGGGATTAAAGGCATGCGCCACCTTTTCCTTAACATTTGCTTAATGTAAAATTGGAAAATCGCTAGAAATGCTTAGGTAAAATCTAAGGCAATTAAGGGATTACAAACACTTAACTGTGATAAACTAATCTGAAAAGATCGTGTGAACATGTGTGATAATGTGGAGAGAAACTACTGATGTCTACCACGTAAGCAAAATACACATGCACTGTGTTTCTAAAGTCTCTGTTTCATAAAAGATTTGAAGGAGATAAAGTATTGGACTTGGAGACAGAGGGATAGAGGGAATTCTGAAGAAAAGGCATGATCTCATTAACCTAATTACTCCACGTATCGACTTTTGAAGTACAGTACAGTTTAATGTTGCATGACACCCTAAAAGCCAGACTTGGGCAATGTCACATGTCACGTTTCTAGCCCAAACCAGAAACTAAACACAAACATACCCCGAGAGGCATGGCATTCACAAAGTTTGCCTGTGTCATTAGGAAAGGCGTTGGGGCTGTCAAACACTGTTAACTCTCTATTGTTTGTGATTGGGGAGACAGGGATGTGGGGACAATAAACAGGATGTGATCCCTGTCAGTGGGTTTAATCTAATGAAGATGGGTTGTAATGGTAAAGTTAATAGGTATTCATTTAAGCCAGACCCAGAATAAGATCTTTGGATATCATGCAACAAAAGAGGCTGATCTTTGTCTTAATTATAACACAAAAGTAGACAGAGAAGATTTTGAGGTTGGAAATGACATCCAGTTTTTATTTTGAAAATAGTTCATAGGCCTAGGGAGATAATAGTTCAGTGGTTAAGGTCGCTTGCTGTACAAGCAAGAGTTTGTGTCCCCAGCACTCACATAAAAGCCAGGCATATCTGCTTGTGTACCTTGCATTGTTGGGTGGAGACAGGTGGATCATGGAATCTCAATGTCTAGTGAGCCTACCTGAAACGATGAGATTCAGTGACAGACCTGTCTCAGATACAAGGTGATAGAAGAAGCCATCCCCTGGCATCCCATGGGCACATGAACACAGATGTGTGCATCTATCACGCACATGAACAGAGATGTGTGTATCTATCACGCACATGAACACAGATGTGTGCATCTACCACGCACATGAACAGAGATGTGTGTATCTATCACGCACATGAACACAGATGTGTGTATCTATCACGCACATGAACACAGATGTGTGTATCTATCACGCACACGAACACAGATGTGTGCATCTATCACGCACATGAACACAGATGTGTGTATCTATCATGCACATGAACACAGATGTGTGCATCTACCACGCACATGAACAGAGATGTGTGTATCTATCACGCACATGAACACAGATGTGTGTATCTATCACGCACATGAACACAGATGTGTGCATCTATCATGCACATGAACACGGAGTTTGCATCTATCACACATACATACACATACACCAAGGAGAAAAACAGTATTTATCTAGAGATGTTTTCTTAATGCAGGCAGAGTTTCTAGTAAAGTTCTGTTACAAATGGTTGCCAAGAGCATTGGGAATATAAAGAATGGGTGTAGTGTTCTGTGAATCATAAACTTGATAATGTGGGCTGACAAGGCTATGCAGGGGTAAGGAGGAGTCTGCGTTTCTTGAATGGCTGGAAGAAGAATGGCTGTTAAGTAAGACAGGGGCTATGTGGACGACATGAAGATGGGATATAATAAAATTATTTCAGTAGTCTTGATTCAAGGGATGTAACTCATTGTGTTCAACCCATGTAGTTGACCAGTAAATTGAAGCTACTTAGCTTCTTATTCTGACTGTAGACTAAACAGACAACAAGCCCTCTCTGTTTGGGGTCTAGACTTGGAATGAGGGTGATGTGAAGCGTGGGGTCCCAGATGAGCAGTTGTTGAACAGTGCAGTTCGTTCTGCTGAGCAGTTCAGACTAAGTCTTAAAAACTCCGGAGGAAAGGCCAAATTCTGGAATCCCAGGCCTCCCATTTACAGCCTAGATACCTCCCCCTCTTTACATCCCCTGGACTTTGTAAAAAGTATTTTGAAATATTGGGAACTTTTCTAAGCTGTACTCTGGATTTCTAAGAGAAGAGATGAACAGTGTCTAGTGGACCTAGCATCTAAGTGCTTAAAGTGGATGGTAGTGTAATAATTTTTTTAAAAACCTCAAAGGGAGTCCTAGAGGCAAGAGTCATGCTAGAAATACCCTGTTTCTTTTCCAAAATGGGCTTCCTCCATTGCCAAAATTTGAGACATTGAGATTTTTTTCAAACAAACAAAAAAACTCTACAATTTTTTTCATACTTTTTCTACCTTGCTCTGTCTTCTGGTGGCATCGTTGTCACAGGATCTAAGACCATGATTTGTGTTCAGATAGATGGCTGCCTTCTCCCCAAAGAGAGCTCTATCCTGTTCCCAACACCTTGAATTTATTTACTTTTAAGAGTCTTGGGCCACTTCGGGAAGAGCACAAAGACGGCTTTTGCCCATTTTGAAACCCACTGCTGCTTTTCCACCACCCCCTTTGCTAACTTAGTGACACAAACCCACTGTGTGAGATATACAAAGCACAGGCCGTGTGTAAAACGAGAAGAAACCCCATAAAAAAGCACTACCCCCCCAGTACCTCAGTACTTATCCACCCCCCCACCCCACAACCTCCTAGCTCTGGTTTTGTCTGGATTTGACAGAACAACTTCACCTTTTGCAAAACACTCCATAAATACTGAAAAAAAAATGGAGAGAAGATGGTGAGGTCAGGGAGGTAGGGCCACAGTCTCCACAGGGCTTGTACAGGCTTTGCTTCCAGACAGAGTTCAGCATCAGCTGAGGCACTGTAAGATGTGATCTGACAGGTTTTAGCTGGTTATCTCTGGTTTATTTGCTGCTGACACTGAAAATAAGCAAATCTGGGAGAAGGGAACTGTTCAGGTGGCTAGCCCGCTGGCCTAGAGAAGAGACTGTGTATCTAAGGGTGGGGTGGAATTCTGGAACTATTCAAGGGAAGAATTGGATACGTTTACTGACACGCTGGTTTTATAAGTGGAGGATAGTAAGTGCTGCCATAATAGGATTGAAAGTTCATCATTAAAACTGCTGACAACAGAAATGGGAAGGACTCGTGGGGAGGGGAGTATGTATTCAAACGGGAAATCTAGAGCAGGTTCCAGAACCCATTTTACTAACCAAAGCAAAGTTTCCTTTGGTGAGTGACCTTTGCAGCTCTGGGTCCTTGGGTGGGGCATTTATTTCCTGGCCTCTGTGAACTGCGCAGATGAGGGTGAGCAGTGCACAGAGGGGCATCCATGTTCCCCTGGCAACCAGATGCTTAGGCTAAGAGTCAGAGAGCATGAGCTTCATTTGGGGTGGCCATTGGGACCCCACCCCACATGATTTTATTAAAAATAAACAGACACACCGGGCGGTGGTGGCGCACACATTTAATCCCAGCACTCGGGAGGCAAAGGCAGGCGGATATCTGTGAGTTCGAGGCCGGGCTGGACCGACAGCCTCCATAACAATACAGAGAAACCTTGTCTCGTAAAACCAAAAATAAATAAATAAACAGAGACACAGCGCAGGCAGTGGAAAAGGAGAAAACACCCTGGCAGCCAAGAATAAAAAAAACTTTCAATTGTTTTCCTATTAAAATAGTTAAGAAACTTGCTGAAAGTAATAGTGTTTTGAAATCATCACAAACATCTCTTTCCGCCTGAGGAATGTAGGCTCCTCCTGCCATCAGCTTGTTCACAGAGTGCAGGAGAGAACCACACCTGTTAAGGAGGGCACACACACACACCACACATACACATCACACACACATCACACATTACACACACACACCCCTGAATACCCTCTACACACACACTGCACACACCACACACACAGACCACACACACACACATCACATATACACCACACACACATCACACACACACCACACACACACAGACCACACACACACACATCACATATACACCACACACACATCACACACACACCACACACACACACTTCACACACACACACCACACACACATCACACACACACATCACACACACACACCACACACACATCACACACACACCACACACACACCCCTGAATACCCTCTACACACACACACTGCACACCACACACACACACACACACACACACACACACCTTGGTCTGTTTTTTCCCATCGGTTCCTGACAGGCAGGAAGCATGCCTTCTTGGGGAAGAGCCAGTTCCATGCTTTGTGGGAGAGAAGATAAAAGTAGCCAAGAGCACTGCATGGTTGGAAGTAACAAGTCCTTGAAGATTATATGCCAAGTTTTTGTTTCTGCTTTGTTTATTTTAAAGAAACCGTTTTCAAAGGCATGCAGGGCCGATCATGATCTAATTGTAATAAACTAAGCGTTAGAGGGAAAGAAAGAGCATAGTTGTGAGACACAGGTGAACACAGAGAGACAGCCAAGATTTCATGATGCCAGCTAAATATGCTCGCATTGCAATGCAGGCTTACATGAAATAATATCATTTTCAACAAATGTTCATGTTTTCATCAACCTAAATTATCTGAGCCCTACATGAGACTTAAGATGACCAAATTATCAATGATAATTGACCATGTTTTTATAAAAAAGCAAGAAAGAAATGTAGAAGGGGAGTTGGACAGGCTGATTTGTCTGGTTGTATAAACAGAAGCAGACAGAGACAAACAGTGACTGCAAGCCATCCTATGAAGAACTTGAGGCCTGATTGTTTGTGCCCTTAATCTGAGCTCTCGAGAAGCAGAGGAAGGAAGGGGATCTGGGCTTTGAACCCAGTTGGAGTTTTGTGGCCAGTTTGGCCAGCAAGACTGTGGCTCAGAACAACCAGAAGAAAGTAAAAGATCCTGTAGATTCATTTAGGAGACCTGGAATCTGCAGAAGGTTGACATTTCACAACTCCCAACATGGTAGATTCCCCAAACACTGAAGACTCCAACAAGGAGATAAGCCTTTCAAGGTGGAACTTCATGTGTCCCATGCCTGTTTGTCCCGGCAGTGTGGCTGACTGCGCTTAATCATAACTACAGCGAGGGAGTGCATAGGTACATTTCAGTCACAAGTGAAAACAAACCAATGCCAGTCCACCCGGCGGCAGAGCTCGGAAGGGTCGACACAGCGTAGTCTCGAGAGGATCCTGGGTACTGGAGCGGTACAGACGTGATGCCCCGGGCTGCCCTTCAGCCACAGCCAGGGAACAGAATGATGTCAAGTGGCTGGAGCTCTGAGCTGGTTTGATCACTTTGTTTTTAGATTGCTTTTAGGGTATCATTAGCAGTCTAGATAGCGCTATCTACTGTTGATGCTGCCTGGGAGACTGACACCTCCCTTTGGCTACTGAACTTTTCGGAAAAGTTAACAGAACAAACCACACCAGAACACTACACAGGGAAAAAATGTATCCTCACCAGTGGGCTAGAACAGCTTCTAGTTGTCTTCAGTGAAAATTGCTAAGCAGCAAGAAAAACACTAAAATCCAGTGAGGTGCATTAACTTTTAAAGTAAATATACAAAATGTTAGCTTTGAGGCAAACACACAATGTTCACTGCAGACAAAAAAAACCCCCAAATTTAACAGATATTTTGTATGCATATATTTAGGTTTAACAAAATATTACAGAATCAAAGGTTGCTTATCTTCAGTCAATGCCTAACTAATATTTTTTCCTAAGCATGGCCAGAAGAGCCCCAAATTGTTTAAATTAATGATGACACTAAGTGTGCCTGTCTGTTGACTGTAATACCGTTTAGCCACACTCTATGCAGTTTCTTTTTGGTAAACTACTAAGAGGAAACCACATGTTAAATGTTTTGATAATGCAACAATTTTGTTAGAAATTACTAGAATTTCTGAAGTTTTGAGATAATGTTTTTTTTTTAACTTACTGACTGGCCTATAGCATGTCTGGTTTAGTTTCCTTTGTACATACTCTAGATGTAAACTTCTAAAAATATTTATAATGGTTTAAATAAGTACATTGCTTGACTATTTCATATATTGAGTAATGCTTGGATAAGAATCATTGTTGAGAGTGAAGCCTTAGTCCAGCTATACAGGAGGATGAGGCAGTATGATTGAGCTACAGAATGAGTTCACACCCAGCCTGCACCACTTAGTGAGACCTTGTCTAAGAATGAAAAGGAAGAAGAGAGCTAAGGCATGATTCAGTGGTAAAGCAATTGCCTAGCATGTATAAGATCCTGGGGTGGGGGAAGGAAGAAAGGAGGAAAGGAAGGAAGGAGAGAAGGAAAAGAAAGACAGACAGGAAGGAAGGAAGAAAAAGAATCTTATCTATTTCTTAAAGCAGCCTGTAAAATCAATGTAAAAATACCATAGACCACCAGGCATAGCAGCACATGCCTTCAATCCCAGCCTCAACGCAGGTAGTAATGGGTAGATCTCTATGAGTTCAAAGCCAACCTGGTCTGCATAGAAAATTCAAAGCCAACCAGAGTGACACAGGAGGACATAGTGAGACCCTGTTTAAAAAACAAACAAAAACCCTACATACCCAGAAAGAAATGAAACAATGCTGTCTTTCGTTTAATTCAATTCTCAATATTTATCCTAAGGAAAAATTAAGGTATTCATATAAAAGCTTTAATTAGGGGTGCCAGTGAATTTATACAGGGGCTAAGTACATTTACAACATCATGTACAGCATAGTTATATACTCAGTTTCTGCTACAAGTAGATGCTAATAATGTATCAGAGAATCATGTATCAGATTCTTTTCAAAGCTTATTTTTTCAGAAAAAAGAGCCAGTGCAGAAAACATCCAAGGTCAGAATGGCTCTGGCTGTAGCCAAGATCAACCGGGGGGCATTAATTCAAGGACTAAACAGCATATCCAGCTCCTCCAAATCTGTGGCCAAGCTTCTGCAGCCACAGCTGGCATGTCGACTCTTAGAGCTGAGGCACATATCTCACCGGCTGCTGAGGGAGGTGAACGCGCCAAGCCAACCCCTGTACAGCATGCAGGCAAGTGGATGTTGCGTCCCCATGAGCTGTAGAGCCTTTCTGAAGATTCATGACTGACCAGAGTGTTGGTAATAAATGACTGTTGAGTGCTCAGCCCTAAATGGGATATCTCATCTACATGACCATTTTAAGGCTCAGGGAGCATCATAGAAAGGGGGTGGTGGTCTAAGGCACAGAAGATATAAGAGATGTTGTGAAACTCATCTTCTGGACATGACACACCTGCTCACCGATGAGCTCACAGCAGCAGTGGCTGCCCGTATAAGGCTGAGCCTGTTGACGCTCCTCCACCAGCTGGAAAGGGCTCATAGAGCTATAGGCAGTTGATGGCTGCTACAGGAGGGTGAGCCACTTTTGAGTGATACAGCACAGGTAAATTGCCCCAAACCTATGCTCATACAAGCACCTGGTCAAGGTAGTGGGCTACCCCTACCCCCAGAAGTCATGAAAGTGGAAAGGATTCACTGGGGAAGAGAAGAGGACTGGGGGTGTAAAAAAATGGAGATCAAAGTCCATTATATTGCACAGAATTGTGAAAGAATAAAACGATAGTGAATTTGGCATCCTTTGTGTGAAGCAGATGAAGTTGGATAGGAGACATGATAGAGTACAATTTCTAGTTGAAATCTGGAGGGGTGGTGATGTGAACTTTTCCTACCTTATTGTCTAATTGAGCTGTATAAACTTTCCATTTCAAATAGTTAAAAGAAAATATAAGCATGCAAATTGACTATTTGTGTCAAGCATAAAGGGAATTCTATAATGATTTTTCAAAGTGGTTGTGTTTTCCTCCTCTCTCTGGGAACACTTGTTTCCCAACTAACCCTTGGTGTGCTAGATGGGCGTATTCAGCTGTAAAACCACTCAGGTATACTCACTCATATTCATGTTTATTTCTAATTATATTTTCTGCATGGCCTAGTGGAGCTTCTGTTATTTCTTGTTAAGGGAAGCAACTGTTAAAACTTTTCAGGCCTGACTTTTTTTTAACTTTATGACACAGAGCTCTGGGTCTTTCAATCTGGATGCTATTCAAACATCTAAATTTGTTCTGTGGGAAAGTTGGAGTCTTTCAGCACCAGTATCCCAATCCCAGGAGCATTGGATTGAACACTGGCCAAAAGGAGAGGAAACCATCCTCAAATGGGCTGAAAGCAAAAGAGAAGAGAGTGCTAGTTTGTATAAGCAGCCCAGAGCTAAGGTTCCAGACACGTGCATAGATAATGAAGCAATGGCCTACCTCTTTTTCTTTGCAAGTCTTCATTCTTTCTTTCTACATCAATTGTACTCAAAGACTATCCAGCATGACTTTTAACTGTTTGGGAATCTCCATACTTCCAAATTCAAATAATTCCTGAGTCAGTGTTCCTTGGGTTCATGATGGAGAATGGTGTACATCCAAGTGCTTGCCTTTAAACTAAGGAAATAGGCTGCATCAGTTGGCCTGAGACAGGTTCCCTGCTTCATTTCCAGAGTTGGGGTTGGAGCCCTATCCAGACCACACGGGCTGAAAGTAGAGTGGAAAGAGCAGGTCCTCAAGCAGGATGGATGCTAGGCAGCCAGAACCAACCAACATCCCATTATGGATGCTGGGTGGTCAGAATCAACCAACATCCCATTATGGATGCTTGGTGACCAGAATCATCCAACATCCCATTATGGATGCTGGGTGGCCAGAATCATCCAACATCCCATTATGGATGCTGGGCAGCCAGAATCAACCAACATCCCATTATGGAGAAATCTATCAATAATTCAAGGCTTTTACATTTAAAAAATCATCACCTGGGAACAGAATTTATAAAAGGTTTTCTTGTGGTACTTAGTATCTAAGAATATAAAAAATGTTATGTGTTTGCTAACCAATGGATTCTGAAGTATTCTGCGCCTTGTTTCTCATCTTTAACATTGGAGAATAGCTGAATATTATTAATTCTTTCTGAAATGTCCTTTGAAAGATAATGTTTTCCCTTGCCCTTCTCTAAATTTTGTTAAAACAATAGGCTTAAGAATTATTTTTATTTTATACAGGAATGTTTTCCCTGCATGTATGTCTGTGTGTCATGCATGTTCCCAGGGTCCATACAGGCCAGAAGAGGGCATCAGATACTCTGGAACTGGAGTTACAGAGAGTTGTGCTGAGACACCACAAAAGACAGTTACAACACCACAATGACAGTTGCAGGGCCACGTGGGTGCTGGGGATGGAACCCAGGTCCTTTGAAGAGTAGTAAATGTACTCAACAGCTGAGCCACTGCTCTAGTGTCCAAACCATAGTTTTTATGTTGTGAAATGTCTTCTGAAGAATATTTCTGAAGTATTTCCTGCCAATCATCTTATCTTGCTGTGATTTTTTGTCCTGATTTTCTACTAAATCCAAGGAGCTGAGACTTTAAGCCAACAAGGTTTCCTGCTGTTGATCCACACTGCATACATTTACACACACACACACACACACACACACACACACACACACACACACGGGGCGGGGGGGGGAGAGGAGAGAGTGAGCTCATATCAGGGACATAGATTGTCGTTCACAGTAAAAGTGTCAGCCAGAGCAATGTCCTGTTGGCTCCCTACTTTTCAGTCTATTGACTGAATAACAGTGAGGATTCTTAGTTAATTGTGCATATTTAATGTTGTACCAGGAAAGAGGAACCTTGAAATGAAGAAACAGAGCCTTTTCAGGAACAATGAAACACCTGTCTGGCTTCTCCTCCGAGGGGGGCAGATATCTATTACCCTGGAACGTGTCTGTAGAAGAAAAAGGAGAGGGTATTATTTTGGTGTCCTCTGACATATCTTGGGGATTCATCTCCAGTTCTCTCTACAGAAATGCACTTGCTGTAGCTCCTGAAGCTATTTGATATGTCCCTTGCTCAGAAGAAACAGTTTGTGCAGGTATATGAGCACTCCATGGAGAGTAATATCTCTGTACTCAAAAAAAATTTAGTGGCAGAAAAATTCTGTCTTTGCCTTCCAGCTAACGTGTGTGTGTGTGTGTGTGTGTGTGTGTGTGTGTGTTTATCCACTAATGAGAACAAGACAAAACAACCCCCCCAAAAAACCCACAATGTGTTTGCCTTTTTCCTTGACTGCCACTGAGATTCTGAGACACATACCTGGCTCATCTGCACTTACTCTAGAAACATGTTTTCAGGCAGAGTGGCTGGTCCAAGGCTGTCATTGTCTTCTTTGACATTGATTTACAGTCAGCACACTTAAAAGATTTTTCCTTTTGGGGGCTGTCTAATGATGTAGCTTTAAATAATTTTACCAGTGAAATAGTTCAAAACACAGGAGTAATTTAGCAGAATTCCCACATGACTATAAGTCCTAATGAGTTTCAGATTGCCTTCAGAATGCTCTTCATAAAAAGAAACACATCCTGGTCCCTTCTCGAAGAGGTGATCACTGTGAAGATGAAGTGGACATCTCTACATATACTTTTATATTTTATTGCATTTGCATATGTATACTTACATACTTTTATTATGTATGCTTAACATTCACTTGTCTTTTGAAAATTCCTGTTTTTAGCTACAATTATTGATAAATGTAGCTAGAGTCATTTTAGCTTCTCTCTGGCATTCCAGGAAGAAAAGATACTCTAGAGTTTGCTACTGGGAGAACGAATAATTAATTTCCAATTCTTTTATTTTACAAACAGTGGTTTGGTCAACACACTTATCCCATCCCCCTGTCAACACGAATGAGACTGTCTGGGAACATCTCCAAGGGATTTCTTTCTTCAACTCTTATTAACTCAAACTGTACCTCAGGAAGCTTTCCTGAGAAAATTCTGAGTCTTGAACCTGGAAATAACTAATTCAACTCTTGAAAAATTCTTAATTATCATTCCTTGAAATATTCTATATTTGTCAGTTTCTATAAACCTGACATGCCTACTAAATACATTTTAATGTGTGTGTGTGTGTGTGTGTGTGTGTGTGTTTTCCTTTGCAATGGTGTTAGAATGGACACTGGGACCTCATGCCTGCCAGCAAGCACCCTGTCACTGAGCTACCTGCCTGCCCTTTATTCTCAGTGTGTCTATCTTCCTCACGGACCCCCGCCCTGCTTCTTTCTGCCCAGGGTCTTGTTATGCATGTCTGGCTGGCCTGGGACTCTCTATGTAGATTGGGCTGACCTCAGACTCACAGAGATCCCCTGCCTCAGACTCACAAGTTCTGGTGATTAAAGGCGTGTGCCACCATGCCTGGCTCTTTATCCCTTTTTTACACATCTTGACTGTGTCCAGAATGTTCTTCTACCTATTTAGTATTACCTTAAACTTACCTTTTGTGTGCATGTGAATGTGTATGAGAAGTTATGCATATGTAGAGGTGGTCACGTGTGTATAGAGACCAGGGGTTGAAGTCCGGAATCTTCCTCCATGGTGCTCCACCCTATTGTTTAAGACAGGCTCTCTCACCAAGCTTGCAGTGAGCTCCAGGATCCTCCTGTTCTGCTTCCAGCACTGGCATTACAAGTGTGTTCCACCAAGTCTGATTTTTAAAAGGTGGGTGCTAAGAATCCAAACTCAGGGCTCCATGCTTGCATGGAAAGCATGTCACTGAATAAGCCCACCCCTTCTTGCCTCACATTCATGATTTGAGACCTATGGGTTCTTTCCTTAAGGATGCTCTTTCTTTCCCCTTGCAAGCCTTGGAGAGTTCTCTCCCTTTAATCGACTTCCAATTATCTTGAACATATTTGCATGTACATGGTCTTTCAAATGATTATTCTTTGAAGGATTAAGAGCTACTAAGCTATCAGACTTTGATGGTTTGTATTGCATATTAATAGGAGCTGATTTCCAAATGTTTTATAACTGTATTTAACTGGAACTTCCCCAGTAGAGTTTCATCTTAGTAAAACCCTCCGTGACAGAGCTCTCCTGAGGAGCTCTGCTTGTGCTCCAGGGACATGGACAACCTGGGACCAGCCTTCCAGCTTTCTCAGTTCAGGCTTTTCTGCACTACCCTTAGAATTT